TGAAAATATAAACTTAAATCAAGCATTAATTTGGTACATTCTTAAATTAATCCCAATTAAAAAATTGCTCGATCACCCAATCATTTCTTTCTTTCTTTTTATTTTTTATTTTTTATTTTTATTTTTATTTTTTAAATATAGTCGATCAAATAAAATTACGATGGGTGAGATAATTGCACATCATTTTCATGTAGTGGTCTAAAAAAAGAGATGTATACTGTAAAATGGAAGGGTGGACAAGGTCTAACCCAAAAGGAAGCACATGGGGCAGCTTTTTGATACCATTTCCACAAATGAAATACATGCAGCTGCTGCGCGCAAACCCTATACGACGACTACTATCTATTCGTACTACCCTTCATCACAGCCGTATCAATTTATTCATTACTCAATCTTTCTATATATACATTTTGTATATATTATTGCTTGTAAATTGAGTGACTTGGAATTGTTTTCCTCCATTGCTATATCAAATAATGTGGAGTAGCTTGTATCTGGACAATCGTGGGAATGCGAAAACCTCGATCAAAATGACCATATTTAAGATAAATTAAGGTAGTTCGGTATTTTAAAATATTACTCTGTATTAGTTATGATTTTAATTGATAATGATAATGTGTTATTATTTTGAAATGCTAAATAATAGGTCTTACTGTATTAGGTAATAACAAAAACTTCGTATTACATTTTATTTTATTTTTGATGCAAAAGAGGGCCAAGCCTTACGTACAACATCCTCCCAGAGAAGATTTTTTATTCAATTGAAGGATCATAGTAAGTGTTCAAGTATTATGAACATGTTATATATGTATAGCTACATACATGGTACTCCGTAAACTTGACTATCATACAATTTTGTCTTTTGTGAATTACGTAATTTATACTCCGTACAATTAACTAATCAATCATACATAACTTGAGTATAACCCACAATGATTTACTACTATCATGGACAATGGGGTATGGATTAGGAACTTGTTATTAGGGTTAGTTGGTATGATACCAGCACAATACAATCAATATATGTCAATTACCTTCATGGTTTGTTAGAGCATTTCCGCTCCGTTAGTAAAGTCCGTTTAGCGATGTTCAATTCAATGGTGTATAATGTAAATCAAGTGTTTGTAAAGATTGATTAATTCCTAACTTTAAAATGTTTTTTTTTTTTTTTTTTTTTTTTTTTTTTTTTTTTTTTTGGGGGGGGGGGGGGGTTCATATATAATATAATAATACAAGAAACACGTCCCAAAAAAAATAAAAAAAATGTAAGAAACACGTATCAAATAGGGGTTGCCTTGGTGGCATTGGTGTTTTAAGTTCTACGAAATACATTGGTTTTTTTATTATCGATTTTCTATTGGCACGTTATAAACCAAACATCACATGTATAACAAGTCTATATTATACTGCACATATAAATCAACAATAACAATACTTTGCCTGTGTAGTTGTTTGATAATTCATATCGTAACTTAAATTTAGCCGAGATTACAAGTTCGAACCTAAAATATCGAAGGGTCAATTTCCGTACTAACAATAATAGGCAAATAGCTAATCTATCAAAGGTTGAAGGATAAATACAAACTTATAAAAATTTTTATTTTTTTATTTTAAAATAAGGAGGTGGAAAATAAAGAAAAAAAGATAGGGTAATGATGAAGTTACCAAAAGAAGGAAGGGTGACAGAAGGTGCGTTAACCATGAGCCACCTGCTTGTTTTGGTACTCGACCATCACCCAACCCCTCTTTTGGTCCCGACCACTCCTGCATTTTCCGCCTCCCTCTTTCCCCCTTTTTTTAGGGACCACTTTTAACTGCTTGTAGTAGTAAGATCACCATAAAATTCATTTTCATCATCATACCAATTTTTTTTTTTTTTTTTTAGAATAAATATTCTCACCTTTAGTTTCTACTTGTGCTATACAATTTTTTCATTTTAATCTATTTTTTGCTGATAATTTTTTGATGCTTAGAAAAGCCTGAAAAAATTCGATCCCCACTAATTAACTTGTGTATTAATTATAACAACATGAAATGAAATTTTAATGTGACAAAAAATAATTCCACTATTTAGCATTATTCATGCTAATTATACCATAATTCTCATAATCCCTATTTTTCGAGGCACTACAGCCCAGCCTAACTCGTCATCCACTGTACTGTTAGAGAAGAAAAATGTAATTTAAATTAGTAACGAGAATCAAATAAAAAGATTGAAGAGAAGGGATATTGTGTGAATTGTTTGCGATGAATTAACATCATATCCTTATTCGCCCTCCTTGAAATTAAACAACGGGAAGTATAGAAGAAATTGAACTTTGAGGGTCGATTCATTTTTTAGGTTAAGTATTGGCACATAGCTGCTATTTATATGGCAAGTAAATAGCAGCTATAAGACAAAAGAGTGGTGATTTTTTTTTTCTTCTAGTGGTACAAATATTGTACCATTGTTATCTATAATGGCTATAAATAATACTACTAAAACAACTTATATTTTAGTAGTATAAAATACATGTATAATAGTACATTAAAAATACCATTGTAGCAATAAAAAATCACAAAAATTAAGTGAATTTACCAATTAGCCCTCCTATATACATCCCAAACAAATAGCAGCAATGTGCCTAATTGCACTCTATTTTTTGATTGTGTATAATCTCTTTCATTATTCTAATTTAACTCGCTTGATTATACGTACATGTGCGCACTAATACCTTATTATTAAAGCTAAGAAAGTTGCAATAGTATAAATAGTTTCCCTTGAGCTCTAAACTTTACCATAACTCTACTAACTTATTAGCATATCGATCCATCCCTTTAGTTAATTGTTCCTATTATGACTAACTTGCATTGCTCTTCACAATTTCTAATGACGACAAATCTTTAGAATTAATCTGAGCTTTCTCCTTAATGGTAATCTAGAATTAACATTCTTTGTACTGCCTCCATTCCACAATGTTAAAGTCATTATATATTCACTAATAGCTTAATCAAGAAAAAATTTCATCAACAGTTCTTTTTATTTTGTTGCAAAACTCATCCACAATCCACCAAATGAAACTATATATCTCAAAACTTTACTAGCACCTCGTCTTTGTTCCAATATGATTCCAAGGAACGTCTATATTATCACATACTTTCCATGAATAAGTTCAAACTTTACTCCAATTGTGTTAATATGTAGAATTGTGTATTTGTGTAATTCCCCTTGAGATGGAGTATTTCTATTGATCAAGATACATAGTTTATACAACTGTAATGCGAATGGAATTATATTTACACAAATATATCCATAGATAGAGAATCTTTACACCTTAAATTGGGTTCCCTCTAGGTTTTCTCCTTGGAAGGGTTTTTTTGGTTCCTTTTAGGGTTTCTCCCTTAAGAGGGTTTTCCTAGCCTCCATTGTTAGGTTTTTTCAATTTTTTTTTTGAAGGTTTTCCTTTTCCCTTCTCCCTTGCGCAACTTTGTAGGGGCTTTCCCTGGTGTTCTTACCGGTGGTAAGCCCCAAAAACCTTTTATTTGCTTTCAATAAATAGATCTCATCCTTGAGATGATGATTTTTCTCTTGAGTTTATTTTCTTTTTATGTTTGTATGGCGAGAATTGAAAATTTAGGGTTCCATATGCATAATATCTATAAGAATCCGAAGAACCACATGAGTATTTTCACTCAAACGACTACGTATCAGTGGATTTCAAGCCGAATCAGTGTGAACTCACAGATTTTATTGCTTCACATGAAGTTTTTTATTAAGGCGATTGTTGATCAAATCTACGATGCATTTAGTTTTAAGGTGTTATGTACTTGTGTTGGAATCCTCGATTTCTTAGGAATTATATGTAAGTCTTGTTTGGCTATATTTTATTAATGATATCTCTTTTCTTCTTGTACAAAAAATAAAAAAAAATAAAAGAAGAAGAAGAAGAAGAAGAAGAAGAGAATCTTTACACCTTTATGGATACATACATAGTCAATTACCGTGAAATGTAAGCCCAATATAATTTATACTCCGTATATTTAGAATATCTTATTACGTGTATGTTATGAAGTATATCTTATTTGTATCAAAGTCATTTCCCAAAGATGACTTCCTTTGTCAAATAGAAGTATCATTTCATACTAATTAGCGTGTTTTGAGCTTTCTACTTTTATTTTGATGATGATGTACAAGTTGATAGGGATTGTTGGTTTAATATAATGGTTTTATTCACTTAACTCATTTTAGACAAGTTAGGGTAAAAATGCTTGAAACAAAATTATCATGTCCTAGTACATTGTACCAACTTAATAAACAACAAAGATATTATATCCTTGTTGAAACAAAGATATATATATATATATATATATATATATATATATATATATATATATATATAGATATATATATATATATATATATATATATATACCCTTGTTACATGGAATAAATTGGTCCAAATATGAGAAAAATTTATTTCTTGGATAATTTCTTTTACATTGCCATTTGAAGTTGCTATTAAAATGAAGATATATATATTCAATTGGTAGACCGTAGACTTAGATCAAGGGTGGACATTTTGAATACATGTTAATTTTATACTCCGAAGTACATTAATTTGGAAAATCTACTAGGATATCTATTTTAAAGAATTATTGTTTAGTACAAATTTATCATTCACTGAAAATCATGATTACAACTTTAACTTACATAAAATACAAAAAGGGATAAATGGAGCAATTAATTAAAGAAATATTAATGAGATATATGTTAGTTCTCCTGATCTTATTGTTGCAAACCTTATAAAAAATCAAATGTACTTCGTACTTTATATATATTTGTCCGAAAATAATAATCACATATTTCGTCCTCTATTCGTTTTAAAATTTGATTTTTGCACTATTTAAAACATACACTACTTTTGGCCTTTGTTTGTGCTTTAACTTATACAGAATACATACATAAGATTAAACATACGGAGTAATCATGTCCTATGTGGATATTTGTTATAATCGTCTTAATGATTTTTCAAATATGGAGCATCAATAGTTTTCTATAGCAAGTATTTTATACATTTTGATAATTTTTATACTTCGTACTAGTGTATCATTGGTCATCATGATACATTAATACATTTGCCACATTGTATTTCATCTTAGCATTTCCTTACATAAAAAAACAAATTCAAAAAGAGAGAGTAGCACTGAAAAGGACATCCAAAAGACCAAATTTCTTTCTGACTGAAATTCATGTTATTTGGTTTAACCTTTATATACCACACCACACCGCACTTCATCTTCATATTCTTTTCTACCTTCACTCCACTCCTTCATTTCCTCTCTCTAACTATCTCTCTCTACACAAATAATGGCAACCCCTCTTCATTTCATGACCTCAAACAATGACCCAAACACAACCTCCTCAAACACCAACACCAACACCAACCAATGGTCCATCATCAACCCACCACAACCCACCAACCATCACTACCCCGTCCTCAAGCCGGTTTCGAACCCCAAACCTCGAGGCCGAAAGAGCGGTAACAAGTCCCAAAATGGTCCCAAAAACAAGACTCCTCAAAGAGGTGTTGGAATGGCTGAACTCGAACGCCTTCGCCTTCTCGATGAACAACACTCTTCCCCTTCTAGTGGTAATATTATTAATAATAATGTTGCCGTTAACCATCCGGTTGTTTCCGATCCCCGGGTTAACCCGTCTTTTCATCACCCGAATTACCCGCTTTCCGGTGTACCGGTGATTCGTTACTGTTTACCGAGTCAACCCATTTCTGACCCGAGGTTGACTCACCGGGTCGGCATTCCTGAGTCAGCTTCAGCTCCTTACTATCCAGAGCTTCCTTCAATGCCAAACCCTTCTTCACTTGATCACTCAATTCTTACTTCTTTCAAGGTTTGCTTACTATTTTTACTGTTCCATTGATTTTTTTGGGGTTTTGGGTTATTATTGTTATTAGTGGATTCTTACTTCTTTCAAGGTTTGCTTAATATTTTTACTGTTCCATTGAATTTTTAGGGGTTTTGGGTTATTATTATTAGTGGATAAATGATTATATCTGTAGTAAAAATAATTGTTATTAACTGAAATTTGGTTTAAATTTGATGTTGCAGAAGAAGAGGGTAATTGGTGAGGAAACAGTAGGGTTTTCAAAAGGGTATAATGGTCATTTTGGTGGCTTTGATATGAAAAATGGAGACAATTATAATCAATTCTTGGCATTTAACAATGGAGGATTTTCTGCTCTTTCTACTACTATAAATGGCAGTGAGGTATGCATATTGAATTTATTTATATTTCATCACTTTTTTTTTTCAAAAAAAAATTAACATAAATTATTAATTTCTCAAAGTTTATACTATATGATCATGAGTACCTACTTACAAAAATTCTTGTAATATTTAATTTCTCAGTTTTTAATTTATGGAATTGTTAAAAGAATGGAGCTGAGTATATTTGTTGATTTGTAATCACCTCTCCTTTTTTTCTTTTTTTTTTTCTTTTTCTTTTGTAAAGGAAATGATAGCATATACGAGTAATTTCTAATTAAATTCTCAAAGTTTAAATCATGAATGATAACTAAAATTTTATGATTTGAAAATTTGAGTTTTAATAAATTTTCCATGAAAATTGTTGGTTTTTTATGCTCTATTTTTGAATACAAATTGGTCATAATAATGAGAAAATGATGAACAAATATATTTCAGGTGGTAGCAATTCACAGAAAATGGAGTGGATCAGGAAATGTAATGATGGAGTATGGATTTTTCCCAGGAAAATCTGAAGAAAACATGATCAAACTCGACCGCGACGACAATGATAACACCATCAACAATTACTACAACAAAATGGAAGATTTAAACCTTAAAATGGGATTTATTTCAGATTCTTCATCACCTTCTCCATCTCCCTCTTCATCATCATCCCTATCTTCTCTCACAACATCAACTACAACCACTTCCAACTCTTCCGTTGACTTGTCCTTAAAGCTTTCTAATTACTAAATTAATTACAAGTTTTTATTATCCTTACTAAAATCTGTTCTTAATTTGAAGCCGTAATTATAAATTAATTAATGGGTTTTTTTTCCTTTTTTTGGGATGAGAAAATTAACTTTCTGTTATTTTACATAATTTAGTGAATTGATCAGACCTAAACCTAAAAAGTACTGATTAAATTTTGCTTCTTTTGCTTACTCCTTTTCTTGCAGTAAGTCTGTTCTTATTCTGCTACCAAAACTGTAGTATGGCATTAATTATCAATTTATAATACAGTACAAGTATGTTTTTATATTGGGTATTGTAGTATCTTTCTTGGGTGTGATTATTAAATGAGTGAATCTTATGTTATTTATGATAATAATGATAAATATAAAGCCTAGACATTTATTGATTGGGTATGTACAGTATATACTTCTATAATTCATGATTCATAAATAAATATGCATGATTTTAAATTTAATTTTTTTTTTGTTTTAGCAATGCAACATTAATTAAAAGTGGTCAGGATCTATGATTCAGTTTTTAGATAGCCAGTGCGGTTAGTGTGATTGTACTTTTACAAAGTTTTTGATGTTCAGCACTTATTTGCTGTTTTGTTAATCTAGCACACAAATTAAGCATTGCTTTAAAGTTATGACATGATCGATAGTACTTGTAGTATCAAGTATGTTTCTACTCCCTTCGTCTCTAAATTGTGTTTCTTCACGTTAATTTAATAGTGTATGGGACATTAGTGCAAGGATTGGACCTTAATTGTCCATATATCAAAGTCTATAAATTAGAGTTAAAAATAAAGAAATTCATATCACGAGGTTAGCTAACTTAATGTATGTACTCATATGAATGAATTAGTGTGAAACAGTCTCGATTAGTCAATCATACATTCATACAAGACTTTATCCAATTATCATTACATTTCCACATTAAAATAAGTAGCTAGCTTGTCATGGATCAGTCAATTATATGTTGATGATGAACAACATTATTTGTGAAGTGAGATTGACCAAATGATGAAAAAGTTTACATTGACACTAACACATTATAAAAATGTCAAATCAATAGTACTCGATGAGTTCACTGAGTATAAACTTCAGTTAAAATGTGCCTTTTTGCACAAGTAGACAGTAGTACACAAAGTTCTTGAGATAGCAAAACTCTATCAGAATAAGCTTTTCCCTATCTAGCTTTGTGATCTCAAGGCATGAGTTAACTTTGTTTTGCACATATTTGTATAAGTGCGTATGCTGATAATGTATGTGTTGATGGATTTTAAACCAATTGGTAAAATTAGTCGGTAAAAGCACGAATATATATATATATTTTGAAACGAAGGGAGTATATATCCAAACTCCTGAGTACGGAGAAGTTTGAAGCTAAGGTTAATATCATGCCAGCAGACAATATTATCTACAGTACTTCTCTAGGGATGTAAAATTCCATATGCCCCTATGAATGAAGCAGCAGATCAAGGTTTTTTCCGATCCCAAGGAATAATATAGGGATAAGGGTTAGGGTTGAGGAGGGTGCCTTTTCATTTAAGTGTTAATGTCCTCATTAATTTGGAGTGATTTTAGCTAGCTAGCTACCTACAGTATATATATGCTAGTGGTTATATGTCCTAAATAGCTTTTGGCTTGATCTAGGGCATTCTATTAATATATGAGCTATGAAATCTCCAAGAGATATGGGGTTAATAGTGTTTTTAATTGAAGGGTTGGGCTGGGCTGGGCTGGGCGGGCTAGCAAAGACAACATCATGATCAATTGTCTACTTCGTATTATCGTAAAGATGTACAAAACTCCTACAAGCGTACATATATAGCATCAAAGATTTTCTAGGATTTCACTAATATAGTTGTCTCTTTTCCATCATCACTTTATCCCATTCACAATTATCACTAAGAAGTGCTATACAAAAAGTTGATTTAATTGACAATATTTCCCGACTTTCATAACTTGTATAATTCCATTTTAAATAAGATTTTGTATTTATTTATTTATTTTTTACTCGTATGTAGTGATTTTTTTAAATGATCATTTCAGATATTCTTACATCCCAAAATGGTGAATTCTAGTACCAAAGTTGAAGCCAAAAAGTAGCTTAAATATAGCATTGGCTATATACCTAGAGACCAACACCCTTAGACTAGCTACCAAATCTCTCTGTAGTATGTGCCTCTTTAACAGCAGACTCTTGAAAGTTCAAACAAATACTCCGTAGGCTTTTTTTTTTTTAGTTCTACTTACAAAATTCGCTATATTCTCTCCGTGTTTTAATAAGTGTAACACTTCCTTTTTTTTGGCAAAAGTTACATTTAAATATAATATCTCTCTTCTCTTATGATCCCCAATACTACTTTTTTATTATTTTTTTCCTCTCACATTCATTATTTTTCAATAAACTATTAACCCTACTATCTTATTTTTTTTTTACAATTTTTTAATACTCCAACTACCCCACTCACCTCTTATTTTATTTAAGTCAACTATATTGCCTAAAACTATGTGCCAGACAAAGTGTAACATTTATTAAAACACGAAGGGAGTATCTTATTTTAGGTAATGCATAAAAACCCATGAAGATCATATATATCATATTTATATTTACATTAATATTATGTGAATAATACATGAAAAGAAAAAAGAAAAAAAATAGAAAGAAAAAAAAAAGAAATGAAAAAGCAAAGTTAGAAAAATGAAGCATAAGAATGGTAATGTAAGAGGGGCAGCAGAGAGCAGACTGATAGTATGTCTAAGCTAATCGGCTCATCATCTGATATGCCGACTTTACTTTACTTATGCTAATAGCCAAATACCATTGTTATTTATTTTTATCAATTCAAACAAAAAAAAAAAAGTGTGGACTTTTTTTTAAAAAAAATCTTCTCTTTTGATTGGCTGATGTTGGATAATGATCTTGATCATCTCGTTGTTATATGATCGGCGTTATCTTCGGCAGCTATTATTATCCATGTAAATATTGTTAGCTTAGTTTTCCCTTAATCTTAGGGATAAATATTAACTTTGTATATTTTGTAATTATCCATGTAAACTCAGAATTTATGACTAGCCAGTCTTTCTGTATCTTATTTCATTAAAAATGTTGTTTGTTGGCTACTACAATACGTAGTACATTGTTTTTACTAGTATGTACTTGATTGACATTACCGTTGTAGTACATCTTCTAATCTTCACTGTTTTCTTAAGTACTAACATTTTACCAAAATTCATACGAGTACTAGTAGAGTTCAAGACTCAATATAAGGTGGTCTAATTTCCTTCAAAAATAAAAGTTTAAAATCTTAGACTGTTATTTGTACATGTATATATATTGTGTTATGTGTTATCAATTAACTGTACAAGTGCAGTTCAAATGATTAATATGCTAAGGAATTAAAAGTGTACGACTAACTATTAGGTATAATTTTCAAAAATAAATAATGCATGGTATTTGAGATGATTCTAATGTACGGAGTTTTACAAATAATGAAATTTTTTCAAATAAATCGTATCCTATCTAGAAATCAGATTAGAATAAAACGTTTTACTTATATATTAGTGTAAAAACGTGGTCAAATTATGATTAGATCAATAAATACATACGGAGAACGGAGTAAAATCAAACAAGACTTATGTATAGTAAACAAATTAAATCATACTTAAATTCATAAAATATTATAATTTTTATTTTTTGTCAACATACTGTAACAAAGGGGGAAAAAAAAGAAAAAAAAAAAAAAAAAAAAACTTGTAAAGGAAAAAATAAAAAGCGTGGACGGCAGGATTCGAACCTGCGCGGGCAAAGCCCACATGATTTCTAGTCATGCCCGATAACCACTCCGGCACGTCCACTTTTGATAATTGATTTGCTTACTTTAAATACATGACGCCTTTTTTATCTTCTCATTAGTGTGCAGGACGACATAAATTACGGATTATATCAACAAATTATGTCGGAATGTTTACTTTTTTATTTATTTATTTATTTTTATTATTTGATGTTAGAAATTTAACTTTATATGGAGTAATTCTTTTTTTTTTGTTACGAGAAGGCAAGAAGCTCTAACAAATAAACACAAAACACACAATAAAACTAAAAGGATTAAAAAAAAAAAAAATACTATCGTGTCGACTTTTCACAGCCAACCAGTAAACAGGAGCAATTCAACCACGACAAACCTTACGAATTCGGCAAGCTGAAAACATCAAAAGAGTAGATCTATTGTCCTGAAGTAACCTAATAATAAGCAATGCAAAGTCATCCAAACCGTAATTCAAGTATCAAGTATATGAAAAATGTAACACAAATGTAGCCATGTTATTACCAAGTATGAAGTATAATTTAGAGTCATAAAGGTTGAGAAAAATCTTTAATCTAGTGTTTTAATACCATTCATGAATTTACTATGTCTTGTGCACTACTTTTAGAAAAGCCCAAACGCTCATGATAGAGTATAAAACATATTCCTGGGCTTTAACCATCAGCTTAAGTTTTTGGTTGAGATGGTCCTCTAACATGGTATCAAGAGCCAGCGTAGCACAAAGGTCACGGGTTCGAATCTCATTCATCCTTCCTTTCAAAGTGGAATATTAAACGCTGGGTATGGTGGGCCCATGCTACATCCACCCATCAAGCCCAATGGGCTATCTTGTGAGGGGGTGTGATAGAGTATAAAACATATTCTTAGGCTTCAACAATCACCTTACATTGGTGGGAAATGAGAGTCTTGCTCTCTTTATATATATATAGAAGTGTGTAGTATACTTGGGTGTGGCCCAAGGGCTACCCACATTTTGTGGAGAGGTAAGACTTACCTACACACACGCGCGCGCCGAACCGAGCCGGGCTGGGTTGGGTCGGGTCGGGTTTATTAAACAAGCTTAATTTTTTATACAGATTTTGAACAAGGTTTAATTGAGTAATTAATGCCTTGATTTTGGTAACTGATTTCCTACCATTTAAAAACGGTTAATATGCTATTATTCCAGATTTTGTGCTAACTGATTACCGTTTACAAATTGATTCCAGATTTTATTACTTACCGTTTTGTAAATTAAATCTTATTTTAATTTTTGATTTTGGTAATTGTTGGTCTTGAACGGATTTAATGGTTGGTTTAATTGATTTAATTGGTACCGTTATGCTGCCATTTTTTGCTGTAAAAGATCTCCTTGTTCATGGTTTTCATACACAACAAAAAACAAAAATACAAATAATATCCTTTCTTCCTCTTTCAAAGATAATTCAAGCAGTAATTTTCTGGCATTTTTTGGTGTTTGGTTGCCCGGTGGTTCTGTGCAAATCCATCAGTACGTTATACTTTTGAGAGGCTGTTTTATCTTGGGGGACATCCGGTTGTAGTTCGATCTGCTTGCACAATTTAAAGGCAGTACCGTGAATGTTCTAAAGAAAGCGACATAGTCCGCGACTCAACCTTATTCCCGATAACATTGTTCTTATTATTTTTGTTCCTGCAAGTTTCGTTTATAACAGTTTTAGAACAATTCTTTTCTGCCTTCGTGAACATTATGTCTACCGAAGATATGACTATGTTCAATGACCTCAACAAACCCTTCTGTTTTGAAGGCGCACACTTTAAAAGGTGGAAACAGAAAATGCAATTTTTCTTGATTGTTAAAAAAGTTCATTCTGTATTGACTATTCCTAGGCCTGTTATTCCTGATAATGCTGATGAAGGTGAAATAGTTTATCTGAATAGTGAAATCGAAACTTGGAATGAAA